TTCTATTAAAAGTCGAATATTCTCTCACAGTTGGTACCATAGTATAATCAACATATCACAACATTTTTCATTTATCTAGTTTTCAAAGCTGATTCTTGGTTTATGGCACAGCTATTTCTTGGCAAGAGTAAATGCAAAGATAATATACAACCTAACTAGATTACATTCTTCATGTGTCTCCACATTAATGGAGACTATCAACGAAGTCTTATTATAGTTTATTTTCCTGTGTAAAATTTTAAACCTCATCTAACTCCAATCAGCGTTGCAGCTGATCTGCTTCCAAAAGACCAGCACCGTGAAGAGCGCAGGGAACAGTTCTACACACACAGCTGCGCATTCTTCAGGCCAGAGTTTCTGACGGCAGCAACAGCAGCAACGCAGTTCAACTGCACACTCTGATGTTTCTGTTTCGGAGAAGGCCATTCACATGTTTATAGAAATACCCCAAAAAAGGGCGATTATATTTAAAATAAAAGGAGAACCTGGTGTCTTAGATGATACTTTAGATATTGCAAATCCTTTTGTCATACTTCTCCTCCCTCCCACTTTTTCAAGGTTTTTCTAGTATTAACATTTTTGCAAGTTTGCCCAAGATTGATATTTAGAAATTAACATTTGATTACATTTGGTGTCTTAAAACACTTTTATCCTCAGTTTATTTCTTAGGATAAAATCCCGCACAAGACAAATTTGAAATGCTTAGATCATGTGGTGAATGGATGATTCACAGTAGTTTAAAGTTCATCTGATCAGCGAATGAAGTAATGGTTGTAAAATATCATATAAAGTAAAATATCATTAATTCAAGCTATATTTCAGACAAGCTTTAATTGCTTTAGGTTTTAGAGGGTAGAGGAGTTTTAGTAACAAATATCGTCTTAATTAGTGAGCTTCATTAAGATGCTCTGTTAAGGAGTCATTGTTTGACTTTGACATGAAGGAAACTCATATTCTTGGGTCTGGGGAAAACTGGACTATGGGGGATTTTCATAATAGGGGGAAAAAAACACCTTTCATCAGCAAAGAAGATGTATAATTGCTGTGCCCCCCCCCCCACTATGTATAGATGATTAGGATGACTATATTCTTGAAATTTATTTTCCAACATGGGTACAAAATAGCGCCAAAATAAAAGAAAATGTATACTTTATAATAACATACAGAAAACAAGAGAAACCCTAGATCATAATATAAAAAGGATGAATTGAAATAAATTAAAATGGCTTTAGATGATAGTAGACTTAGCTGTCAAATATTTTATGTTTTGATGTCAAATGGAGCATCTTTAAACCAGTATTTTAGATAATAGATATCCATACTAATTATGCATACTTGCACATGAAATTTAAATATATAATTCATTTAATTATAAATGCATATATTAATATATGTTAAAAAATAAGACAATGCAGAATTGATGCATTTAAATATCTTTAAAACATTAATTTCTTTAAAGGCTAAAGGTAAACAATAGTTCTTCATAACTTCAGATGATACAAAACCACATCATCTGTAAGGGTATCCAATTAATGATACGCTTACAACAAGAAAATAGGACCTCAGGTTTATCCTGATTTTTGAAAGCTTGCTTTAGGAACATCCATTTTCCACAAGTCCCACATTTTACAAAAGTGTCACGTTGCTACTTGTTTTCCTATTAGACAGTAGAAATGCAGAAAGGATCTTTGCTTTTACAAAAGGTGACAAACAGTGAATCCAGCATTCAGTACGTATTTCGTGGGACGTGTCACCATGCTCCTTCCCTGGGAACTACACTTCGTATCTCTCAGTTGCCGCCTTCAAAGCTTTGCACTGTGTCTGTGAACACTATATTTTAGTCTTAATCTAAACTTTATGTGTTGTTTGATATGATTAGTACATGCTATTTTAAATCTGGAAGCACTAAACATTTTTCCCATCTCAATTATTGCTGATTGCTTCTTTGCTTTATGCTATTTCAATTTATGGAAGGTTTCATCAGAACATTCTACTTTCTTTCGTGGGTACATCATTTGTAATTAATTAGTGAATTTGTTATATAGTTACTGATGTAAGTTGTGTCTAAACTCCCTAAAGTATAAAGATAAAACTTTATTGTTTCATTTTAAAAATGGAATCTTTCAGGTCTTATGGATGAACCATCTAAAATGAATAATTGTTGGCATTGTATTTCAAATTTTAGATCTAACAAGGGAGAATGAAAAACATTTGGATGTGATGAAAGACTAGAGCAATTTGTTTAGAAAACAAGAGTTGGCTTACCGTGATTACAGTCATCTTGATTTTCTGTTGTCTTCTGTATGTATAAATTGAATGTTTGGTGGAAAAGTAACTATTTAGGCTAATTTATAGCAGATTTCCTAAAGTGACCTTATATACTCTCCGTTATACTGAAATCTCAACAATAGTTACATTTGCTCTTGCCACATGTCCTTCCTTTGAGGTAGAGTTCATTCCTAACCGAATCACGAACTTCGCCATTATTGAAATGAGGACGTGGCCACCTAAATTAGAAGTCCGAGTCAGTAACGGAGAGTCACCTGTGGGGCTTTCACACTTGGATCGAGTTGATCTGTGCAGAGACAGCTCAAGAAAAGGTTGAAACACGCATTACACTCATAACAGTTTTGTAGTTTGTTTGTTACTGTTTTTCAAACCTAAACTTTTTTATTATAAATTTTTGTAATATAGGTTATTGAATTAAGACATATAAAGGGGAATTCAAAAAATTCATGTAAAAAATTCCATTATCTTTCAATACCATTTGTCCCTGAGTGTTTTGAAGCACCCGTCCACATGTATTTGTTTTTCTAATAGCTTGGGTATATCGAGATATAAAACACTTTGCTATTTATTGCTTTCCCTTCTTTTTACTTTTTCACTTTTTATCATGGAATCCTTAAATTAATCTTTCTGCATCTTAGGAATTATAGGCTCTAAGTATCCTTTGTAAAAGTTTTTCAAAAGAGTGAACACTCATTGACCTTTATGGATGGGTGCATTGTATTTTTTTTGGGTCCCAGATGTGTGTGTGTGTGTGTGTGTGTGTGTATTATATGAGAGTGAGTATTCCAGAATAAAAGGGGACATGAACTCTTTGTCAAAAGTCTTTTGAACCACTGCATGGTTTTATATTCCTTGCAAATTTTCTGGGTTTTTTTTTTTTCCAAATGTGAATTTTCTTCTCCAAGTTGTTTGATCTCCGCAGCAATTACCTGACCACACATGACCCCTCCCCAAATAAAAAGCAGCCAATACTTCAGAGTGGAAATATATTCTTTATTTACATATTAACTTGCGGTTCCTAGTAAACAGGAAGTTGAAGGAAGCCCAGTTGTTGAAAGGTCATTGAGGGGCATTCAGTTTGCTTTCTGTCAGCTGTTCTGTAGGGCTCGTGCTGTTGCCATCGGGTAGATTCCGACGTAAGCCGACCCATATTCTTTGCAAGACGGTGCTCTTCCTGGAAGCCGACGACCACATCTTGTCCCTTGAAGTGACTGTTGACCGTGAACTAACTGACCTTTGGGCCAGCAGCTGCATACTTTAGCCACAGCCCCATCAGGACTCTTTCTTTGGTGTCTGGCACCACAAGTGTTGGCCGATGAACAAAACTATTGGAATGGCTGGATACCCTTTGGAAGTGTGAATCCTGTATTAAGCCATG